AAAATTAATATTTAAAGTTTTATTTAAAATTAAATATAAAAGCAGGCAAATTTGCCTGCTAGACAATCTAAGGGATAATTTCTGATTACCTTCATATAATTTTTTTTTCAAGATTATCTTAAACTTCTAGAAATCTGGTGGTTTGCATGTAAAGTACCACAATATTACCTTCAAAAACTTGCTTTATTACTTCTTACAATTACTTCTCACAATACAAGATACAAGTATATTTTTTTTGTTCTAAATTAGTTTACTTAAAAATATCAAAATAGGTATATTCATATACATATATATATGTTTATACTGTAATTTTTTATTTTAATAATTGATTTTAATTTTATTCAAGATTGACTATAAAAAAGGTTTCAAATATAGCTAAATTATATGCATATTATGTTACAAATGCATAGTATAAACTTAATTATATTAGACAAGATCTTTCAAAAAGTAATTTTTTAAATATGATGCATAATTATACTAATTAACTTACTTTAGGTACTGCAATGTTTGATAAAGATATTCAGTTAAATAATTCTGAAGACAATTTTAATATTGAAGATAATCTTGAGGATAATCTTGAAGATAATTCTATTATGAATGATCTATCTAAAGTCGATTCTAGTATGCTAGAAATTAAGAATAGTATTAATTTGAATTTTGTTTTGAATAATACGAATTAATAATTAATTTTCAATGAAGTTATTAATTATAGTAAAAAGAGTTTTGATATTGACTTACTTGTTAATCAAGAAATGAAAATATGAAATATATAAATAGATGAAAAAAACTGATATACTTAATTAAAAGAATCAATTTAAAATATTATAATTAGATTCATTAGTAATAAAAATAAAAAAATAAAAAATAAAAAAAAATAAAAAAAAATAAAAATAAAAAAAATAAAAAATAAAAAAAATAAAAAAAAATTTTGGGAGAAAAATCAATTGATTAAATTATGTATATATGAAGCATGTAATGATCAATTAGATTGAGATTGAAAAAATCATTAGTTGGCAATAATACAAAGTATATTGAATTTATAAAATAACAAAATACAGGAATATAAAAGTAATTAATTCAGAAGTTAAAATAAGATAATTATTGATATAATAGTAAAAAAATATGTATAAAAAATTATTTAAATTAAAAATTAGTAGCTTTCTTAATAAATAATCGATTTAACCAAAATAAAAAAATATTTACTCTGAACTCTTCTCATCAATCACTTGTACCAAAATTCATAGAAAAAACAAATATAATATTTTATATAAAAAATCTTTTTATTTAAGTAATATTTGCTACAAAGGATTCATCGACAAAGTGAGAAGTTTAGCTAAGAAGATAGCATGAATAAGAAACTTCAGTCTTCTACGGTTTTGATAGAGGTCAAACTTTTTGCTAGTGGACTCCTCTATTCTATTCAGCATCCAAGCTAGAAGAAAAGAAGGTGTTTCTAGTGGTATAACCCTTTGGCGAAGAAGACTTATTCAAAAATATTTGAATATAAAATTTGCAATACATTCTTTAAATATAAATTTGGATTACTCACACTCTCGTCCTTTTTCTTTTAGTCTTTTTTTTAAAAAGTGGGGAATTTGGCTTACCCCTTCTAAAAGATCAGCATGATGCAACTACTTCCTTTTTTGGTTCTGTTGTTATATGACCTTGTATGAAGACAACAAACACATGAAACAGCCTATCACAGTAGAATAAACAAAATTGGAGTTAACACGTGAAGAGATTTTACAGAGATATACACTTTCATTTGTCATATAGTATAATATTTTTATTTTTTTACACTTCTTTTTGAGGAGTGCTTTTCTTTTTTCTCTTTGTTATATATGTTAGAGTTTTTTAACTTGTTAGCAAGTTTTTCTCCTACATATTAGGTTCATATAATATGTAGTTTATTTTTTTCATTATATATAACAATTTTTATTTTTTCCTGCATAGTTAGGCTGCACTCTATCTTTTTTTTTAGGATTATATCCTAGATTAAGGATAGGGTAGCACTAACTATAGCAGTCATGATAGGTTGTGGCGATTATCTTTTGAGGTGCTTTTTAGTTTTCAGTTAAGAATCTAAGAGTAAAGAGGTGAAAGGTTATTATAGCAGATTGCACATAGGTACTATTATGGTAACTGGGTGAGTTAGTACTTGAGAAAAATCACCAGATTAGTATATCAACTAATGTAGCAATGTTTTAACAATAGTTAAAATTTGATTTAATAAAAGTATTAACATGACTGCTGAATATTAAAAAAAAAAAAAAAATATTTACTCTAATCAGTTCTATATTTCTTTTAATATAAAAGAATAAGGGTTTCATAATTAAAAAATAAGTGATGTATTTTGAAAATAAGTAGGATTTTTTAAATAAGATCTCTAATTCTACAAATTCTCTTAATAATTATTACTGATTCAAAAATATATTATATAAATTTTAAATACCCAAACTTTATTTAGATATACAGGTTAGATTCAGGGCTTAAATGACTATAATAATTTGTCAGCCATGTATAAGTTTTATTCTTGATCTATAATATATATAAAATTTAATTAGCATAATTAGCATTATGAATAACAAAAGTTGTTAATTTATATATATACTATATACTAATTTTAATTAATCAAAAAAGACATTTTAAACAATAACTATGATATAATAATTGGCTAGCATATTAATTTAGTCATTTAAGCTCTGATCAGATTTCTTTTTTAAAGTTTTTTAAAAACCAACTATTTTTTGCACAAAGATATGGAATATATTTTTTTATATAGGGTTAAAAAATATTAGTTTCAAATTGATATTTCTATTTTTTTAGTACTAAATGATATTAAACTACATTAAATTTTAATTTAAACAAGAATTATAAGCTTTTTTTTTTGGAAAATTTTTATACTCACTGGAGGTGAACTTCACCGGATCACGTGACACTATAACATGTTACACAAAGTATAGTTGAATATGAGTATAACAAATCAATAGGCGTGACAAATAATTACCGATTAACATAATATATTACTTATTCATCATACCCAATAATTCATCACGCTCACATGCGAATAGAAAGAACATTAATAATTAAAACTATTAGAAGTAATCTATCGCTTTCAATATTGAAACTATTAGAAGTAATTTATCATTTTCAATTTATAGTAATAGAGTTAACATGCTTTAGCTATCACCTCCGCTACATTCAATAATACTAAATTCACTTTTATAGAAACATCTTATTCTAACTATTAGAGTAGTAAAAGCACTTATTGAAACACTGTTGAAAGTTAATCTATCCTTTTAATAACTAACAGATTAAAATATTATAGTAA